TCGTTAAGACACGGTTCCCAGCAGATCACCGAAGTCAAGCATCACTGGCTACGGTCAGTGTGCGGGTGGGTGACCACTTGGATCAGTGTGCGGGTGGGTGACCACTTGGATCAGTCTGCGTAGGGACCGAGGGTGTGCGGTATTAGTCCTCGTTAAACTGTACTACCGTAAAGTGCTCGACTTCGCTTGTAGGTCGTTGGGCAACCGAAGCGGAGGTGGCATCCCCTTTGCAGAGGATCAAAATTGTGATGTCATGTCTTCGGATCATCCTCAGGGATGTTTCCCAGACCGTCACCAATAGCCCATTATGCAGCTCTAGTGCGACGTAAATGAACTACAACCACAATTTTCTATATAATGCGGACAGATTGCGAATAATTTAGGAAACAACTATATCAGAGAAAAAATCTTTGCCGGAAAAAACACACTTTTAATTTTTTTTCTTGTCTTAAATACAATTTTTCAATTACCTTTAAGTTGCCAATAAGTTATCTTAAATCCATATTAAATTTCACAGCGATTATTGGAATATATTAAAGAAGTTAGTTTAAAAGCTGAAAATTTCTTTAAACTTTGTTAAATAAAAATTTGTTGAGATTCCTTCACAGAAGCACATAGAGCCTTTGATTTCCAGATTAGAACATTCTTCAACTTATTATTTGCATACTTCACTTATTTCCCGAATATACAGTCATTATTAACATTTAAATTGACTGTTTCTAATGGATCAAAAACTCTAGTATATTCATGAAGTTTAATGCTGGTTGACAGAACTTTGGTTTTCGTTGAGAATTAATAAGAAAGATGGTGTTTCACGGGTAAAAAAAAACTATTAGGGGGGGGGGGACCCCACCCTGAGATGGTAAAATATTAACGTTTTTCTGGAATTTTTTTTTAAAGTAATGGAGACAATGCAGAGACTCCTTGTTTTTTTTAATGTTATTTAGCTGCAATTTAAGTCTATTTTAAATTTTTTTCTTTTACAAAATAATAAAAAATAAGTTGGTGTCAGCTTCGTGTGTGGCTGGTCATCAAAAAGTAACACCTCACTGACCTCATGGATTTAGAAGTCCTGAAACATAGGAAAACGATTTTGTTTAGATTTTCTGAAACATAAAGACATTATCTAAGAAGTAGCATAGCGGATTTTTGATATTCGCAAAATTACCAAAATGGCGGCAACTAAAAAAAAAGTTAAGTTTTTCATTAAAAAATATTCATTAAAATACTAATATAAAATCGAAGTATAAAAACATCAAGAAAATCGTATGCTACTTTCTAAAGAATATATTTTACGTAATTTAAAATAAAGAACAGCTTATTTCGTTGTATAGATCATGAGAAAAACGTTACGCCAGATCAAAAAACAGCGTTGTGAGAAAAATGCGTTTAAAGTTTTGACTTATGGTAGGGGAAAACGTTTAATTTCATATATATAATGATCGATAAATGAAATGCCTACAATAAGTTTCTATACACAGTCAACAGAATGGATGAGACACAAAAAGAATGTCGCCCCTCCTAATCCGGCCGAACGGGCCTCTGTACCTGCTTATCGACGACTCTCTTATTTTCCGGTATAACTTCCAAACGCAGTTAGGTACCGTGAAATAGTTTTAGACAGAAATTAGAAAGGATACAAAGATTCGAAAAATGTAATGAAATTTTTTTCGACTTTTTGAAATATTCAGGGTGAGGTCCCCCCTTAAATGATATTTTGAACATTTAGAAAATGTCATTTTTGTCAATCAATAAAAAAATTTATCAAGTTAAAAGTTTAAAAGTTCCTTACTATTACTCAAATGTTGATTAAAAAAAAATACAAGTTTTTAGCAAATAAAAATCCAATATCACCTCATTGTAGCTCAACAGATTCCTGTTTGGAGAAATTTTGCCTATCAGAAAAAAGGTTTCCTTGTAAATTGTAATATATTTTTTTTTAATATTTATTACATAATTATAATACATATATGGCATAATTATAAAATAAATTCTATAACTCTAAAACGAGATGCATAATTTATATATAATTGTGAAAATATCACAGAAAACTTTATAATTTCAGAGTTTGGGACATAATAGTTTTCTTTATTTTATGATACATTAACATTTTGTTTATAGGTAGGTGATGTCATGGTTTCCCGGGTTAACAGTGACGACATCAGATTCGGAGATTTTGGATTGGCTGCTAGACTGTTGCCAGGAAAAGATTATTTCTTAGAGTATGGACATCCTGAATTTGTTGCACCTGAAATAGCGAAGAAAGAACCAGCAACCTTGCTTGCAGACATGTGGTAAAGCTCTGTCCTTTATTTAACGTCTTACATTTAACGGTTATCAAAAAAGCAAATTTCCCAATTACCAAGCGTTAGGTTTTATATTCTTATATAATGTACAAAAATTGATATCACATCTGAAAATCTGAATTCTCAATATTTTGTATGATTATTGTATGATTGTTTTGTATGATCACATTATTGTTATGCACTTTCTCCTGGTAAATCGCAATGCGTAAGAATCGGAGTAAAAATGTAGGGATTAAATTTTTTAAAAGTTAACATCAAACGATGTGTGCTGTGCCATGGTGGATCAGTATATAAAGCCCCCGCCTCCCTGTGAAGTGACCTAGGTTCGAATCCCAGCAATGTCTGGTTGATATAAATTCTGCTCCTGGCCCGCTCCACTGAGCAGACGTAAAATATCCTCAGTTGTAGACGGATCATGCGTTAGAATCCCCATTACAATCGGGCAAACTTAGGAGGTTTTTGTTGTTTGTTTATTCTCTACATGTGCGGGTTATCTCTATCAAAAAAATCTTCCATGAAGGTTAGTTTGTCCCAATGCTTAATCTAGGAGTTCTTTTGTCTTCTAGGTTGGGTTCAAAATTACAAGACTATGGAGTGGAACTTAGATAGCCGTAAACCCAAAAATGGGTTAACTGTTCAACGACGACTACAGAATTAAATAAAGTTACGGGGCTGAAATTACTGAAGTTATTATCACATACTGACGCATTTTTTTAAAAGATCTATCTTTAATTCTCTACTCGATTAAGCTTAACTGATATTCCCACTCATTTATCTAAGTAGTAAAAAAATAACTCAAACTTGGAAATAAAAGTCTTTATTAAAGCTTTGTATAAATATAAGAATGTTAACAATACATTTTGAAATTACAATAAAAAAATAAGACATTTCAACTGTTAAATTATTTGTTTCGTGCTGTAAATTCCTTTTCACGCGAATGGAAAATAATACGCCAATTTTATGGGTTTACAACTACAAATGTTCAACTCTGTAACCTTGTGATTTTGAACCCAATCCAGAAGACAAGGGAACTCCTGGATCGAGCATTGGGAGAAATTTGCCTTTGTGGAGGACTTTCCGATGGAGCTAACCCATCTTTGCGTTACATGGAGAGGAAAACCACGAGAACCTCACACGTTTAGCCTGACAGCAAAGGGGCTCTAACCCATAATCAGTCTACCACTGAGGATATTTCACGTCAGCACTGTGGTCGGTGTGAGCCGGATGCGGAATTCGTATCGACTGGGATTCGAACCCGGTTTGCCTCATTAGAAGGCAAACGCTGTATCTCCTGAGAAATTGCGGCTCATGCTGTGTATTATGAAATTTTAGAGCTTTTATCATCATAACCCACCCAGCTCCACTTCCGGCTGTAACAGGTTTCTTTTTCTGTTAATGCCGTATTAGGCTGACAGGAAATTTGACAGGAATGATTCAAACGTACAGACAGTATATAAAGAATTATACTGATTTCTCAGACTTACTTTTAGCTTTTTTTAGTTGTTTTACTAGAAATAACAATAAAGTGGTTATTTTTATTGTTACCCAAAATGTTAATAAGAAAACTGGTATTTTTTGTTCTAATGGAAATTATTTTTTTACAGGAGTGTAGGAGTTATTACCTACCTGTTGTAAGTATAATTATGTTTCCTGAATACTGTTCTCTCAGTTATTGTTTATCTGTATCTATATCTTTTGATCTCCTACCTTCAGGCTGAGTGGCATTTCCCCGTTCTTGGGGGAGAATGACCGGGAGACGCTGACCAGGCTGCAGCAGGGAAAAATCAACTTCAGTGAAGATGCGTTTACAGGAGTCAGTGACGATGCCAAAGACTTCATGTCCAAATTACTCGTCTTTGATCCTAAGTACACTTTTACGTTGTTTAAAAATGTGTTAATAATTTGGAAACAGATTTTAGCATTCGCTTAACTAAACTTAAAAATTCTTTTAACAAATGAATCGTTGTTTTTAGGGGACGGATGGATGTAAAAACAGCTTTACAGCATAGGTGGATCAAGGTAATACTCGAGTTTATGACATTTACGGAGGCGTTTGGTTTCAAAATCAATTCCTGAGTTTTTACACGGAGAAAAAATTCTGATAAAATTACCGTACTGTATAGTTATTACATTTCTGGAGGGAAAAAACATAATTCTGTTTTAAAAAAATCGTAATACAATACGGTATTTAAGATATTCATTTGGTAATTTTTCTATTCATATGGTAGCGGTTTACAGAAAATTATGCTTTTCAAAATTAAAGATCTTATTACCTCACATTTAGTAAATAATATCTACAGAAGAGTTAATTTAGCCGAATACATGATTTTATACTATACTCTAAAATAGCATGATAAAATTACTAAGTTTTATCAGATTTACCAAATTTTATCATAAATTACAAAACCATATTTTACTGTTAATTTTATAAAAATCATTGCTAAACGCTTCGATTTTTCCCATTGAGTAAATTTTACCATATTCTCGTATTTTCGACTATACTTTTTTTCTCATTTTAGCAAATATTTTGCGAATAACTAGAGCAACCATTTGATACTGTTTTTTTTTTTACGAACTCTGGATTTGGAATGCTTAAGTCTTTTGGAATGCTTTTATGTTTTTTTAACTGCTTTTAATGTTAAAGTGGTACTTTTTATTAATTTTGATAAATAAAAAAGACTGTAAAAACTACATTTGAGTTCCATCTTATTGAGCTTTTATCGGGGTACTTACGATACTCTCGTGAAATTCAAGGAAAGGGTACTCCTACGAAATTCAAGGATATTCTCCAGTAAAATTTAGCGAAAAGGTTTGCCAATGAAGGATTCTTCAGGGAAATTCAAATGAAGGGTACTCCAGTAAAGGGTGTTCCAGTGAAATTCAAGAAAAGGGTACCCCTGTGTAATTAAAAAAAAAGGTACTCCTGTGAAATTTCAGTGAGGGGGCTTCAGTGAAATGAATACTCGATTATCGTGAATTTTTCTTCTTTTTTGACGAAACCGTTTCCTGATATATGCTCCGAGTAAATATTTCGTCAAAGTGACGAAATAACTATCGTCACTTCTTCAAGGAAGCGGATTTCCTTGACATTCCTTGAGATTTCCCTCCAAAAAAGAAGAAAAAACCACATGACGCCTAACTTTTCTAATAATCACTAGATAATGGGCAACGTATCGCTTAGTTGATGTCACCTTAATAACAAAAGAAATACAAATAGAACAATTAGATAAATTCTGAGGCTGGATTCAAACCCATGTTCCTTCTGGTGCGAGATAAACACCTTGCCCGCTATATAGTCCGGTCAGCTTATTTTGTTTCCTTATTTTTGATCGTCTAGTCTTCTCTTAGTTTTATTCTGGTTAACAATCTCCCACAATACACAACGATGAAGTTTCGAGTTGAGGATACATGTTCGTCATTTATTTGATAGTTTCCGTTTCCCTTTATACCACGTAATTTCGTGACGAAATAAGTCTCATAATTAACTAAATATAGCTCCAAGATTGCCAAGTCGTCAAAAGTGAGATTTTTATTTCTGAGAGTGTGTGGTTTTGAAACCAAACAATACTTCTATTATCTTTTAATTCATAAATTTAATACTTTATCATGATTATGTAAAATTTTATATTATAATCAAATATCATATTTATAGTACTATTTGGAAAAAACTTCGGCGGATAGAGTTCTCAACAATATGGAACGATTGAGGGAATATCAGAAGAGATGGAGAGATTGGGTTTGTTTTTATTTCAATTAATTTTAAAAAATTAACGTTTAAACAAAATTGAAATTTATCATATTAAACATTTATAATTATGAAATTTACTTTTCCTTTACTATGTTCTTTTATTAATAGAATTCAAACAAAGACTTTCAATTAATTTTTTTATTCAAATTACTACTGTTTTAATTTATTTAATTTTACTTCTTTATATATTTTTAATTAAGTTTTTTAAATATTTCCTTATTACTTCTTTATTAAGTTTTTTAATTATTTCTTCTTATTAATATTTTTTTAATATAATCCTTTTTATTTAAGTACGCCAATGCTTCTTGCAAACGATACTACCGTCGACGTACCTTAGAATCTTGTTTCCATCACCCCAGCAAAATGATTTATCCCCCAGGAGAACCCTACACTCCCGAAAGCAGTCCGGAACGAGATTTGGAAAGATCACACGTCAAGCCATCTCATTTTGACGATGTCACTTTCCGTCAAAAGATCAATCGGGAAGACATTGACTTCAGATCTGAAAGCAGGTTGGTTTTTGTTCTTATCTTATTGTGAGCTCTTATTAATGTTCCTCATATTCCTATTCTTGTTCTTCACACCTATTCTTATATCCTTCATATTCTTATTTATGTTCTCTACACTCAAGTTCACATTTTCGTATTCATGCTTTTCATATTTTCCATGTTCCTATTCATGTTCTTATGTTCCTATTCTTGTTCTTATGTTCCTATTCATGTTCTTATGCTCTTATTCATGTTCTTATGTTCCTATTCATGTTTTTTATGTTCCTATTCATGTTCTTATGTTCCTATTCATGTTCTTAGGTTCCTATTCATGTTCATGCCAATGTACATTATGTTTTTTATATTCTTGTTCATGCTATTTACATCCATGTTCATATTTATATTTGTGCTTTCTATATTCATATTCTTCACACTCGCATTCATGTTCATAATTTTTTTTATTCCTGCAATTATTTTACAATTTTTTCTCACTTTCTGGCAGAAAACGAATAAAAAATCGTGCTTTATATATATAAATTTTTCACACTTGCGTACATGTTTTTCATATTCATATTTATGCTTTTTCAATTTCTACATTTATTTTACCCCTTTTTCATCTCTTTCCGTCAGAATATCGATCAGAAAAATAAAGATTTCTATATCCATACTCGTGCTTTATATATTCATATTATTCACACTCGTGCTCTCATGTTCTTCATATTTCATGTTCTTCATGGATGGATATAGTTTGTGACAATGAATGATTCAAAGAAAAATTCCATCAAAAGAATAAATTTGTAAGCATTTCTCGTAACTCATTCATTTTGTTTTCTAGCTATCAAAATGGTCCGGATACATATTTGTTGCAGTTGAGAGATACTGATTTTCCAATGAGGTTGAGACAGTACCTGAGAGTGGGATCATCCACAAGTCCATCTCTTGCAGCCAGTCTAAGGGATAAGCACTGGGGAGACAGCACTGTAAGTACAATGACACTTTTTTTATATTTGTATTAGGGTAAAAAATTGTATTAAGGTATTGGATTATGGATATAATTTTTGTAGATTTGTTGTTTCCTTATCCATGGTACAACAGCTATCATATTCAAAAATTTAAACACTTCGAACCATAATGTTATATGAATTCGTCGTAACCTTACATTCTTAAAAACTGGTTCTTTGAACTATTATATTGATACAGCGGTAGATAAGGGGCAGTTTTCTGCAATCCTAGCAAGGTATAAACTGAAACCATATCTCCATTTGTATTGTGTAATCAATAGAGAAGTATGATAAAATGCTTTATTTTAGCATCATATTTAAGGTTCTTATAAATTTGAAAGATATTATGGTCTATTTTGTTTTAAAATCTTCTAACAGAGCAAAGTCAAATCGTAATTCTGTGAAAATTAATGGTTCTTAAATATTTGAAATAAATATATGGTTCACTATATTCACTTATTAAGTTGCACGATATCATTAAATGTGCAAGATATCATAGTTCAAGGTATTATAACTACGGATTAACGTAGTACCGGTTATTGTGATATTGCCGGATGTGTGTAATTGTTATTCCTAAAAAAGAACGGATTCTAAAGATGATTAACGTGATTTAATTCCTGCTCCTTGATCTGCTGTAAATGTTGTTTCTTAAATTAGGAATTCAACTGAAACAAATAAAGAAACAAGTTTGACCGGTAAGTCTTAAATTGCATATTTGAAACTTTCCCGAATGATGGTGAGAGATATAAGCATATATAAGGTACTATAGAACAAATTCTAATAATCATGGAACTTTCAGTCTTATTTTATTTCACAGAGGTTAGAGTTGTAGGGGGGAACATTTATTGAAGAAAAAATTATCGAAGAAATCGTTACATTCAGAGAAAAGTGACACTTTTTATTTCTCGTCCTGCTATATTCTTGATATAGTGTAAATACAACCATTTTTATCATGAAAATTATAGTAATTTAAGGAATAATTATCTAAGATAGCTTGGAATTAAGATAATTTGGGTAATAATTAAGGGTAACTTGAGTAATGTCTTGTAAAAATTCAGAAACAAATTTAAATTACAGATATTTAACATAAGTAAAGTTAGGTTATCAGTGAAATTGTGTATGCATTTAATGGTGTACTTAAAATATTAGGGATTTTAAGTAATATTTAGCATTGCTTTTATTTTGCTCTTCAGCTGGTCATTCGGGAGCGACGAAAATTTGTGGACATGATGGACGAGGAGATTGACGACGAGAAAAAAGGTCTGACGTTGAGGTCAGTACCGAAAAGACTCTACCACGAGATTGGTACTCTCGGATTCGCAAGAGAACAGATGGAACAATTGAAAACAGAAGTATGGAAAGAAAAATCCCGTGAATTAGCAATAGGTATTTCATTGAACATATATTAATGACAGTCAATTTTTAAAGTTTTATTGCTGATACTATTGAATTGTTCGGAAAGTAAATTCGTTTTTTTTATAAAAATAAAAGACGATTTTTCTTATAATGATTAAGCATTTCATCTGGTTCAAAACATTTCGCCATCTTTCTGATAGTATAGTGATTTCTCGCTCATGAAACCTTTGATCTTAGTCGGCAAAAATGACCAATCCTGGGAATTTTTGAAGTCATTTGAAATAAACGAAGTAAAAGTTTTTATCGTCTAAAAACTTTTGTAGAGACCGAAACATTGTTGTAAACAGACTATATTTTGTTCCCAGTAATGATGCGCTTAAAAAATGTATCATTTTCTTGACTTTCAAGAAACAAATCTCAGACGTCGTAGCTTTCCGTAAGAACATGAAGAACTCGCAGGACGAGCTTTGAGATTAAACCTAGGCATTTCAAAGGATACTGAACTGTCGAATACAATAAATTTAATCATTCAGCCCTCTAACGAATTGTTATTTACTGATTTGCATCAATTAATGCTTTTTTCATCAGTTCTTATTGTGTTTTCATCAGGCTTTCCAGAGCATCTCCAGCATCAAAATTATCGGATCCGAATCAAGATTTTGAAACTCAGTGCTAGTACTACATTCTCTCTATACCATATCCATCGGATGCTTTTTTGTTGTTGCTTGAACAGAATTTTTACCTTTTCCATGGTAAAAAAGTAAAATAGACCGAAAATTCAGATTTTCACTTTCTGTATTTGAAAGGGCATCAACAAAAACCTACTGCGTAGAATCAGTCGGGTTTTCTTACGAGCAGGCCTTGCCATATCAGCTGTCAAAATATGTAACGATTACTCAGCTTGAGACTGTAAAAAAAAAAGAAAAAAAAACAGAATTAATACTCTGTGGAAGAAAAAAAATTACTTTCCGTACAACCCAATAAATTACATTTTGCTTAGCTTTTTAAATGTCCAAATCTGACCATTTTCACAAGAGCTACTTTTTTCTTCACCTTCTTGTATTTATTTCTTGACTCAATTCAGAGGTTCCATTTTCCATTGTAGTTACAGCATCGGCTCCGGACACAAACGTCCCTAGTTTGACCACATTAATGCCCCCGTGATTACGATCATTTTTACGAGCATAGCGTTAATTTATGATCAGTAACCAAATATTTTACGAGAAAAAATTGCATTTTTAAAATCAGTTAGCTTTATAAGCATTTCACGATCAGTGATGAAACACTTTTTGTTGGTCACTGACTATAGTCTAGAGATGAAATTTATTAGAGTGTAATAAGACATTGATTTACATTATATGAGGAAATTTAAGTCATTAAATGCAAATGAACAACAATCTTGTGTCCAGATTAGAGCAGCTAATATATTTTTCTTTCCAGGTATGCCTCCGTACTTTAGAGAAAAGATTCGCAACTCATCGATGAAAGAAAATGATGAAGTTGTATTTACATGTTATGCTGTGGGTAAACCAAAGGTCGATTACACTTGGTTCAGGAATGACGGCATTCTCCTTGAGAGCAGCAGAATTGTTGTAAGTGTGCATAATTACACAAAGTGATATCACAGAAACTTTAAAAGTAGTTTGGAAAAAATTTAAGTTATGAATATAAGCACCTATAGTCTGTCTATCGAAAGAACTCCCCTCGCAATTCATCTAGTATTGTGGCTGTGATTATGGTTACGAGGTTTAACTATTTCAAGTAAAGTGTCAGGTCAATATTTAAGACAGGTTTTGGCTAGGGTCGGCGAAAAAAAGGAATCAGGAAAAAGAGAAGTTTCCCTTTTTGAAAAGCGCTAATTCTTGTTTCCATAGCAGCAGACTTCCTTGGACTTTGTGACGAGGGAAATTTTTCTATCGACAAACTATAGCTCCAGTTTCTACCGTAACTAACTTATTCCCATCTGTTTATTTATTTCCATACTTAATTTTTTATTATTTTTCGAACTGCTGTGCAATTATTAAAAAAAGAACAGTTTTTCCCGTTTTTTTCGTTAATTTAATTAAAAATTTTTGAAGTTAAGTAAACTCATAATCACCTTATTATTTTTCTTTAAATTTTATAAGAGTATTTATAAAAACGAATGAAACGATCATACTTTGTGGCTAGGTAAGTTCTTTCTAATGATAAACTATCTCATAGTTTTGCTAATATCATCAAAAATTCTAAAACAGTTGTTAGCTATTTTTTGAATTCAAATAAATTCCTATAAACATTTCTAAAGAATGGGATATTTAAAGTTAAATGTAAGGGAAAATGGAGTTAAATATTTATTCTCATTATGCAATACGTGTGTAGTGTTTACATTTGGAGTTGTGTTTTAACTATTTTCAGAATTGAAAGTTTCGGATATTTCGATACATTTTGCTACAATTTTGTATATTTCTGGTACATTTTGATTTAATCAAAATATAAATTTTAGTTTCATTTTGTAAAAATATTTAAAAACAAAGAAATTGTCAACAACAACAAAAAAATTTTAAATAATTGTTTACTATTTTATGATTCCAAATTAACTCATATAAACTTTTCTAAAGAAGGGAATGTTTAAAATTAAATGTAAAGAAAAATATAGTTAAATGTCTTTTCATTTACGCGTATAGTGTTTACATTTTGAGTTGCGTTTCAACGATTTTCAGAATTTGAAGTTTTGGGTATTTAAATACATTCTGCGACTATTTTGAGCATTTAAAATACAGTTTAAGACTAATTTAGACTGCAAATTCCACGTGTTTTCTCACTAACCAGCTTAGGACATTAAAACATCAGCAACAGTTCAAGTTCTTAATAGAATGAGCCGAAAATTCGAAGCACTTGAAATTTCACTCCGTAAAATTTCAAACGTTTTTACTATTATACTGTTCTCTAATAATCAATAGGTGATAATGAGATACCTGCAAGTGACGTAGTGTAGGTATCTCAATCCTGATTGGTTGTGTAAGCGTGGCATTTGTTTACGTTAGCAACTGTTCATTCTAGTCTTTTTCGAGTAAGCCCAGCCCATCAAGTATCAATTCTCTTAAATGACTCATTCTATGTTCTTTCCCAAAGATTTCAATTCTTTCAATATCTTACTTAACACAAAGACTGGCACGAAGCCACGTAGAACATAAACAAACTAATTATAATTCAAATTTGTTAGGCACATACAACAAAAATATATCACAATTACAATAAAATACATAAACTAATAATAAATCTAAGTTAAAGATGTAGACGAGAAAGAATTATATTTTTATAAATTCGCCATTTTGCTTATAAACGATCAACTGGTGCTGACGTCATAGGTCACATGTGTGGATATCCGTGAGCTTCTTCTTGAAGTGCAAGTATCCAATAAGATAAAAATAAATTATTGAAATTATTTGAAACAGTTTTTTTTTAATTCCTGTATAGGTTACTGAAAGAAAAGATGGCCGATGTGAACTGAGGATAAACCCAACCAGAGCTTACGACATTGGTGTATATAAATGCGTTGCCCGAAACATGCACGGGGTTTCTTGTTGTAGAGCAAGGTTGAAACTCGGATGTGAGTGATTGCTTTTATTATTTCACTTATGAACTACTACTAAAATATCTGTGCTTTGCTAGTTGTGCTAAAAATAATTTCTTCAATTTAATATTCTTCTATATTCTCATTATCAATTTTCAATATTTAAAGTACTGATTCTTGAATAGCTAAACCGGGACGACCTGAACCTCCAGTAGTGAAGAATACTTCAGATACTGAAATATACATCACCTGGGCAGTACCGAGGGATGAAGGAAACTGTACAACTCTAGGATATACTCTAGATTATAAGAAATCAGGTAATATACTTATATGTTTCTTTATATATATATAAATCAAATCAATTTTAAGAGACAAAAAATCTGTTGGTTTTTTGTTTGGAAAAACCGGTCTTTCATTGTTGATAGTTTCATTGTTAGCATTGTTTCATTGATTCAACCCCTTACCAAAACATTTTGAATGGATGAGCTTTTAAGTAATTCTGCTTACTGGAGCTACATTCAAATTTTAATAAAGATGTCTATTCTTACTTAAGCTGAAAACTTTTTACGTTTTCATTTTTTTTGTCTTGTAGTCTTTGCGTAATAGCTCACTAGTATGTCCAAAGTGAAGTTTGGAAGCTACTAAGCAACAATGTATAGAAAATATGAAGAAGAAAAAATTATATAAAATAAAAGTGATCGAAAACTCATAATTTTTTTTTTTTGTTGACAGAACTGGAAAAGTATGAAGAACTTAAACGCACTTTTCTTTTAATTCTAATCAAGTTTTATTGAACTGGTTGACGTTTCACCGAGTAGAAATTTTAGCAAGTGACATTTACCGAGTAGAATTTACCTTGCAGCGTCTAAAGCCATATAGTTTGATTATAAAGATTTCTTTGTTGTTGCTAGATTTGTGTAAAAAAAGAAACAGTCAATGTCGGCTATCTTCTGTCAAGAGGATTTTTTTTGTCTTTTGTGTTTTTTTTCCAATTTGTATGTTTTGGAAGCGATTGAAGTTTTTATAAAATAATACCTTTCAGTTTTAGTTTCTTGGGATTATTTATTTAATTAAATTGCTTAATATTTATAACAAAAAATTTCTTTTGTTCTCGATGTTACCTTAATTTTTCTTAACTGGGAAAACAGTTATTTTGCATTAGTTCTATTGATAAAAAGTAAGTAATTAAAGTTCTGTTTTGCATTAGTTCTATCAAAAAAGGTTATATAATTGAACTTCTGTTTTGCATTAGTTCTATAGATAAAAAGTATGCAATTGAAGTTGCTAAAGCAATCACGCATGCGTAATTAGACAACAAAAAGATGTTAAAAACTTGAGACTGCAAATGCAATCAAACAAACGCGTCTTATTTTAATTAATCTATGTGATTATGTGTTGTTAGTTGACTCTGTAATACATTTTGTGCTTATTTCTAGATGACGATAAGTGGACGACGATAGCCAACAACATCGAACATGGATATTTTGTGATAAGAAATTTGCAACCATCCACGTTCTATCAGTTCAGAGTGAAAGCGTTCAACAAGTTCGGATGGGGTGAATTCAGTCTTCCTACGACGCCGGTCACAACAAAACCTGAAGGTGATTTAAATTTTTCAATTATTCCTCTTCATAATTTTCATAGTTTTTCAAGTATACTTCATTCATTGATTAACATTTATATACTTCATTCATTGATTCAACCGAATTCATAAAACATGAGTTCTGTTAAATCAATGTAAAAAAAATTTTCGTTTATTGTTTTATTTTATTCAAAAATTATAAAATTTTTATTCCTTCTAAAGGGGCTACTAAAGTGAAAGTCAGCCCTCGAAGAAAATACCAGCAAGAATTCACTGAAAGAACTCCAGATTATGAATTAGAAGAGTCAGAAATTCCAGAGTTAGACTACAGCAGGGAAAGTAATCCAGTACCCCTGGAAGAAGGTGATACCCTAGATTTGTACAGAATAGTTTCAGAAATGGACAGGTAAATGTAGTTTATTTATATTTAAAGATTTTATTTTTCGTTTTTCTGAATTAAATCAAATTTCAGAGCAATTTATGGATTTAAACTGAATTGTGAATTAATGTACACCGTAGAAAATTCGGATTAAATTACTTTATAAAATACTGGGACTTTAGATGCATCATCCGTAAAGTCTATTTTTACTATAAATTATTATAACATAATTTTTAGAGTAATATTTATTTAATTAGAGTGATTGAGTGATTTTGCGTTAATTATTACTGAAAAAAATTACAGTGTATCAGATTTTTCGTTACGCAACATGTTCCTGTAAAAATGTATTTTACGGTAAAAAGTACTGGCAACCTGAGTGCCGATACCTTTTACCAGAATTTTTGACACTGTAATGAGGTAATTATGAGGTACTTCTAGATATATTTTCCTGGAACATATTCTAGTGTTTACGAAATATCGCAAGAATATAAATAAGAAGTAATATTTTGTTAAAGCGAAAGTTTGTGAGTATAATTTTTTTTTTCATTCTGGTTATATGTAATCGCTTTGCCAATATTTTCCACGCGCGGTGTTCTTCTCATATTTTATGATTTTGAAGCTCTTTTTACGCTATGTTTCGTGCACTCGAGATACTCTGTCCAAGAAATTTTCTTTCTATGAGATTCTCTGTCCAAGAAATTTTATTTCCTCGAGATTCTCAGTCCAAGAAATGTTATTTCCTCGAGATTCTCTGTCCAAGAAATTTTATTTCCTCGAAATTCTCTGTGCAAGAAATTTAATTTCCTCGAGATTCTCTGTCCAAGAAATTTTCTTTCTATGAGATTCTCTGTCCAAGAAATTTTCTTTCTATGAGATTCTCTGTCTAAGAAATTTTATTTCTATGAGATTCTCTGTCCATATATTTCGTTTCCATGAGATTCTTAGAATATTATCCTCAAGATTCTATCTTTGTAATATTTTGTCCAACGACGTTTTTCACACGTTGTGTTTTGTTCACACGAAATTTTGTAACCACCAAATTCTTTGTACGTTATATCTAGATCAAGTGAGATTTTTATTTTCTCGGGATGTTTTGTTATTCCAATATGTTTTGTTCCTTTTGTTCAGTATTAAATTCTCTCCAACGAGATACTCTGTCTTCGAGACTGTTTTTAAATCTCTTATGGAATAATATTAAAATGAAATAACTTCAAGCACTGCATTAATGCGTGTAAAAAAGATGACCCTGAGTAACTTTTCTCTAGTTATCGGTTTCCCACCAACTAAGGACCGATCATAATGTTTCTAAGACGTGACCTTAATGCAATTAATTAGTTCTAACTATGAGTTAAATTTCAGAATCAGACATAAAAACGTATTTACTTGCCCCCTTTTTTGGTGGTATTTCGGTAACTTTTACGTCACGGCATATGAAAAAATTCAGTCTTTAAGCGAATGAAAAAATTTTTGCATGAAATTTTAAGTTATTTTATCCAAAGATCTTTCTATCGATATAAAAATAATAGTATTTTTATTATGTACTTATTATTTTACTTAGTAATGGTCGAAAAATTTTTGAATGTCGAATATACCACATTTTTACATTATTTTAAACTTTGCAATTTTAAATGACAAAATACAAAATTTGAACAAAACTGGTAGAATAGTTCTCGAAAAATACAATTATGAAAAGGAGACTTTTTTTTTTAATTTGATAACTCAGAAAACTTTTCGACTGATTTTTTTTAAGTTTTATATTTTATAACTTGAAATCGTAGTTGAAAATTTTATGAAAATTTGTATACATTACAATTCCATCACCAAAACTTGTTACTTTGAATTTATTTATTTTTTAAATTGTTAAAAAAATAATTTTTTTTTGTGAATGGAATTATGAGTGGCGATTTTAAATTGAAAACTTCATTCGTGATTATTAGCAGTAAGATTAAAAATCTATGATGAAATTTAAAAAAAAAAAGTTTTTGCTAAATTGTTTTAATATACAGCAATTCTAAATATACTTTTATTTAAGGAATAAAGTAAACAAAAAAAATTAACGTTTTTGTACGTTTTCAGGGGGAGATTTTCTGTTATACTGAACGTTTGGGTGAAAGAAACAAACACATCTAGTATAGCAAAAGTGGTACAGACTTCAAAGGAGGCCGACGGTAAGCAGGAGTACGAAATAATGAAGAGTCTATGTCACGAAAGAGTGGTCACCCTCCTGTCGGCTAGTTATCAAGGTGACAAGACAGTACTGGTGATGGAGAAACTTTCAGGGGTCGATGTTATGTCTTATCTGGCGCTGCGACACGACTACAACGAAGAGCTTGTTGTCACCATTATCAAACAGGTACTGGAAATTTCATTGAAAATTTATTTTAGGCAAAAACATTTCTTACTTTAAGAAGAACTTCATAACAAAAAGAAAGTTGAGTAGAGAATTTAAATAGAAAATATGCAAAACTCTTATGCATCATACTGTCATGGTGTAAACATGTCACATTTTTGTGACTGTTTATAAAACTTGCAGAAGGAGTCTAATAGTTTTTATTTTCTACCAAGATGGGAAATTAAATCCTCACATAAAACACGCATTACACATAGAAAAAAAAATTGCTCCTAGACATCGTGGTAGCTTTATATATACAGGGTTAATCATAATTCCCTCTGTGGTTTCGAAGCATTACAGTAAAAAAACGAAGACGAGTATGGCAAAAAAGAATATATGAAATTATTCCGAAAGTATTCAAGTTTTAATTTAAGCAGTTGCCGGTAGATGGCAGTAACATGTACCACTGAAACCAGTTGTAGTAAAGAAAAATGGCGTTTACAGGAGGAGGGAATTATGAATAACCCTGTATATATGTTACCGTCAATGACCGAAATCAAGAGAATGTCGACTTTCACCTGTGGATGTCAACAGTCACATAGTCGCTTTGGTGAATGTCCGAAATATTTGTTATATCCGATTTGATATTAATTTATTCGTTGATATTATTATATTTATTCGATATTTTAATATTTGCTGAGGATAGATTAGGAGAAGTGTTCGGAGTACCGGTTAAATGCACACTGGGCAGTGGTACTTGGCCTTAAAAAAACTTTGATGTAGGGCATACCGGACAAATTTATAGCGGGTAATATATATATATATATATATATATATAAACTGCTGTTTGTAGAAAATGCAACACCATGAAGGAATCATCAGAATCAAATGAAATTCGCAGCAAATGTCAATTATAGGATATTATGCAAATTAATAAAGTTTCAGAGCCATCGCGCGTGCGTGGCGCGCGCAGCGCCCTCTGAATTGATGCTGAAAGCGTATAAATAAAGTGCTGTAGCGGGACGTTGAAAATAGTCTATGATTATTTGTTAGTGGCAAACGTTTAGTGAGACCTGAGTATGCCTCCACGACGGAAGAATAAGAAATTCAAGCAACTTACGGAGTTTGAACGAGGGAGGATAATCGGCCT